GCGTGATCTTACAGGTACTATTATTACAAATAAAGCTGACTGGACAAATGAGGAGATTATAGCATGGCTAGATAACGAGGAAAAGAAGGAGCAAGATGAGTATAATATGCTTGAATCAGAGTTTATTAGGAATAGGAATAGGAATACTGAGAATAGGAGTAGGGATATATGGGCTAGACTTGAGGAGGAGTATGCGCGAGACTCGGAGCGATATATATTGTAGGATTTATTATATGTTATTTTGTTAAGCATGTATTAATTATAGGTATAAGTAGAGTGTTCGTGGATGGTGGGGAGGCGTGAAAACCCGCGCTTAGTCAGCTCTAAACTGACGCCGGGGCGTCAGTGTATTGGGACCCATATATCCCACCATGGCTTACTAAGCAACCCTATCCTCATTCACTATAACTCCCGCTATTAAGCAAGGGTGAGTCTGAGGAGCGCAAATGATTTTTGAGGAAGATCGAAGCTTGAAACTTGGGAGAAGTAAATTAGCTTATACTATGTGAAGAAGAGGTACTACATCGATGCGCCAGACAAACAAAAGAAAACTTACTGCTGGATTACATCTTGAAGTACATTACCTTCAAAATCCGCGACATTTGCTTCGTATTCAATTAAATCGTGTTAAAGAAATCTATATCTCGCTCTCAAACCTCCTGACCATTAGCCCCTTCGCTTCCAAAAATTCCTTAACATCCTTAACAGTATACTCCCCTCTGTGGAACATTCCAGCCCCGAGAGCAGCATCCGTGCTCGTCTGATCAAACACTTCCTCAAAATGACCCGGATTCCCAGCACCACTAGAAGCAATAACTGGTATCTTGACCGCTCCCTTAACTTGGTTTATCAGCCCGAAATCAAATCCGCTGTTCGTTCCGTCTTGGTCGATGCAATTCAGTAAGATTTCCCCAGCTCCCATTGCTTCGACGGCCTGGGTAAGTTCAACGACATCGATATCTCGAGTTTCTCGTCCACCTTTGATGGTGCATGCGTACCAACATACAGACTCTCCATTTGGTCCTGGAAATGTCGTAGTAATGGTATTATGTTTCGTTTCCGAGGCATTGGAAACGTAGACTCGTTTCGGGTCAACGCTGACAACCACAGCTTGATTACCATAAGCTTGTGATATCTGCTCAATAGCCGTTTTTCCTGATAACCTCTTTCCAGCACCATAATACTCTTCAGCTGCAGTGACAGCATCCGACCCTATTGAAACCTTGTCCGCACCACTCTTGAAATACATCGTCGCAATTTGCAAGGCCGAAACCTTTGTCCCATCAGTATCAGTAGTATCCCTAACACCACCACCAATCGTCAGAGGTACAAAAACTGTCTCTGAAGTCCTTCGTAAGATTTCCAGCATTGGTAAATCAGCCAGCGGACAATCCCGAAAACTGGTAATGTTCAAAAAAGTAACCTCATCCGCCCCTTGCTCATAATAATTCCTAGCCATCTCAACGGGTTTCCCCAAATTTCTAACATTACCCCCCTCACCCTTTTCCCTAACATCGTACTGGTCGCCTTTCGTAACAACTAGATCACCTTGATCATTTGTTCTCACGTCCAAACAAGCGATAACTCTTCTCGTCAGACCTTCCTGCACGGCTTTTAGTCCAGCGACACCACTGTCTTGTTTTCCGTCCAGGAAAGCTTTCAGAACCCGTAGACCAGCTACACCACTCTTCTCAGGATGGAATTGAGTCGCCAAAATATTTCCCTTTGCAACAGCACCCACGAACTCCTCATCCCCATATCTAGCAGTAGCTACCGTCCATCCTTGTGCTTCCAGCTCCCCCTTCACATACGGAACCTTATACGAATGGACATAGTAATATTTTGAGCTCGGTCGCAAGCCATAAACCTGTTTATCATCTGTATTTGCGCTGTTCCAACCGATATGCGGTACGGATTTCGAGGAATCGTTGAAGCGATCGAGATGGCCCTTGATGAAACCGAGGCCCGCGACAGAGGGACTTTCCGATGAGCCTTCGAAGAGAACTTGAAGTCCGACACATATCGACATGAAAGGTTTGCCGGATTCGATATGCTTTCGGATTGCGGGGAGGTAGCCTGCTTTTGAGAACTGCGTCATGCAGTGGCCGAAATGACCAACGCCTGGGAGGATGAGTTTCTATGGCAGAGGAAAAGTATTAGCTTGAGATCCTGATCCGTTACGCGAGAGAGATCTTGAACAATTTCGAAAAAAATCTACAAAGAATCCATTGAATTGACTCACATCTGCTTTCTCGATATCCTCGGGCGATTTGATCCATTCAATCGTATACCCCACTTTCTCTATGCCATTGACTAAGCTCCGCACGTTGCCGGCGACATAGTCGAGTAGATATACTTTTGGCATATCTTTCGGAGTATCGCTGTATCCTGTAATTGCGAATCTGTCGATTGGTAAAGGTTGTGCTGTCTAGTATGTCGTGAAGTGAGTCAAGTTTGGAGGGTCGGGACAATTTATGAGCCCCGCGGCAGAAACCTTGTGGGCTCACCGCCGCACCTGTAAACACTACGTCACTTCGATTTCTCTGTGTACGAGTACTTTCATGAACGGTTTTTTTCTGAAAGACTCGTAACATCAAATTAATCAATCGATATCTTTGAATTGGTTGAGCTTTGTTGATATTTACCACGACAATTATTCTGTTCACCATGATGACTTGTAAAGGCGTGTAAGATACATGTAGTGCAGTAATAACTTGGGCCCTTTGCAAAAGTCTGGCATTCATTTACGAAGCAAAATTTTTCGTTCACTAGCTTCATAAGATAGTAATCCGAACTGACTTATATCATGTTAAATTGTCACGATATACACTCGGCTATTCTCTTTTCGAGCTCGCCTAATTCATACTCATTCAAGCTTTTTATTACCGATCAACTCACAGCTTTGAACTCACCTTCTTCTTTCTCTCCCTCTCCCTCTCCAAACCCCATTCAATTAGCCTCTCCTTCCGCATCTCCACTCCCGCTCTCGGACTTCGCCCATCAACATACCCCATAAAATCATGTGTAGAGAAACCCAACAGCCCCAATAACCTCTTTGGGATCTCATCCAATTTTTCCCAACCTGTAGCAACCGTCATATTTTCCGTGGTTCTAATCCAAGGCTGACAATACTGGATAGTAAAGCTTCTTCTCGTCTTATCAGACGTATTTTCACCACCGCCGTGCCAGACGGTATTTAGAAAATAGACGACTGAACCAGAAGGCATGATTGCTGGTACCATCGCTTCGCGAGTAGGCTGCTGGTCATCAGACCAAAGATGAGAGCCAGGTATGAGGGTTGTTGCTCCATTTGAGGCCGTGAAATCGTCGAGGGCGACCATTGTTCCCTGTTCCTTCTAGTCAGTGATACTCATTAATTTTGACTCTGGATACAAATTTACATACGATACCCATCAAAGGTCTCCGCCGTGGCAAATGTATTAACCCATCGTCATTGTGCATCTCCTGTCTTTTCGAACCAGGACCAACATCGACCGTTTGCCAACTTGTCAAAAGATAATTCGGCTCCAGGAAATAATCATTCAACTTCAAAATCGTCTCGTGAATCGGAAAACAATCAAATATACGACTCTTGTCGGCAAGAGCGTAGATCCTACTAGTATTGAATCCTTCGAAGGGGTTTCTCCCCCCTTTGACTGCGGGTCCTGAGTCATTCAAGGATTGGAGGCGTGCTAGTTCTGCATTTGCTGCGTCGACTTGAGCTTTGGTGAAGAGAGATGGGAGTATCACGTATCCATTTTTGAGGATATGGTTGATGAGATGAGCTACTGAAGGGTCTTTCTTTCCGGGGAGGAATGTAGTGCCTTCCCCGAGTTGCTTCCGATCATATATGGTTGTGGGCCTTAGATGTTGTTTCTTGTTTTTCTGAGATGTCTGGTAGGATCAGTCTGGGGTATCACGAAAGGAATGTTACGATGGAGAAATTTACCATGTTGATATTACAGTATTATCGATCTTGTTAACTTTCTATCCGTCTCCTTGAAGAGAAAGGTGATTGAGTCTGTTATTTATATATCGGATGAAAGTATCCGGACCATAAGTAATATGAGGTGAGATTGCAAACCCCGAGGGGTTGTTGGTACTGTAATGTTGGTTGGTTAGCTGAAGCAGGGGGGACGGGGAAGGGTTACTGTACACCCTATGATCGGTTCACTTTCTCCTCCCCGTAATTCAACAATTACTTATTTTAGCCCTAAGCATTTAAATTAAGGGCTGCTCCAAATAGACAAAACAGGTGAACATGCTGCCATACATTTATCTAAGCGTTCTACTTGTATTTCAACCTCCACGTGATATCGAAAATGCTTAGTCGAGCCCTGCCAGAGCGACCTCGGGAGTCTTCTTCCGGATGAGAAAATTCTGATAGTTCTTTTGCGAGCCGCAGGCATAGGCAGAAAATGTTTGGATATAGTGTCATATTATTCACTCCACTACGCTATCCAGTCGCGAAGGACACACCCCGCTGACTAATTAAACTCAGCATTGGAAATGGGTTGAGTTGAGTACTACCTGAGTAGTGCGGAGTAGGCAGGGCCGAGAATCGGGAGACTGGTCCGACCTCCCGGATCTCGTCGGCCACCCTATAAATTCTACCGAAAGGTGCTTCTAGCGAGCGGTTATTTAGCTAGGGAACTGATATTATTACACGGAATAGTGCTAGTCTCTCCCCCCTCTTTACTAATTTATTTTATATAACAATTGCTTTGTAGGACAACTTTTGTGTACTTTGGAGTATTTATAGTAAACTACTCGAACACTTGTAGTTAACTACATTACTCAACTCAACTCAACCAAATCCACTGCTCATACAGTACTTAATTCAACCCAACTCTGAGTAACTCTGAGTAGTACTTGAGTCGTTGAGTAGTTTGTTAGAACGCTGAAATTTAGACTAGAAAGTACCCTGCTATCCTAAGTCTGACGCTCCGACTTAGGACGTCTGATTTAGGTACGGAAGAAGAGAGGGAGAAAACGGCCGGGAACTACCGTGTATAGAAAAGTAGTTATCGGCAATTTAGAAAAAAATCTCTACAAGAAACCCTGCTATAAGGATATCCTTGTTTATATCCTTACTATATCCGGGCTCGACCATATCCTTGTAGCGAGTTTTTTCTTGTAGGGAACGGAGTTACGGAGGATATACTAGGAAGTCAAATTGCTGTTTTAACCTTTGTTATTAGAGTATAGTACAGAAAACATAAACTTTCAGGGTCTTCTACTAGAAGTGTATTAACTTTCAAAGAAGCCAGAAAGTTCAAAATCACCAGCGATTGATTGTCCGATCAGCGTTCGGTGCTATATAAGCGGCTAATCAAGACAAGTAGTTAGATCAACAACTTTTTAATACTGGTTATGTCTATCGTAAGCTCCATGCGTTCTCGAAGTCAATTTTAGTATAGGGGTCTCCTCCTAATCTCTCTGGCTCAAAGTGTAAGTCTCATGGGAACTTTCAGAAAAGGTAGAAACATACTAGAGGAAAAAAGGCCAAACATTAATATAGTTTGAAAGAACTTGATTTCTGATCATTTTTGTTAAACAATTTGACACTTGTTGTTAACGTACTGAATCTAGTTGACTCTATAGACTAGAGGGGTTTACAGAACAAAAGGTACAATTGAAAGTACAGATAAATAGCCTTTTATATTGCTATATTGATCCCTTCCAGAGTATACTGGTGCAGGTGCAAACGTGCGTACAAAGTGGATATAGGTGGGTGTAATAATTGGGGCCAAATTAGGACTGAAATGCTGGGAAATCTAACCTGGTTATAGTTAGCTAAACGACTTTGCTTAACGGTGAAGATTTTGTTCGTTAGATACTTTTACTCTACTCTTAGTTACGTTTTTCCGGATCAATAGAGTGTTTTTGCCGCAGAACTTTGATGATGTAAACAACTTTTGTTAGTGTGCATATATCTAAGTTTATAAATTTTATAGTAGTTTTGTAACTTCGATTTATAAACGAATTATTATAAGATGATCTATAGGATTTATACTAAATCTTTAACATAACTAGAATCCAAACGCAAATCGAATGCGAGGTGCCTAAATAGGTGGCACGGTTACTAAAAACACCTGAATCGATTATAATATATAGGTTTTTAAAGGATTAATTTTTTCTATATTTTACAACACTCGGTCCTCCTCTATCTCCACAAGTTATAATAGTATTTTTAGCACAGATTTGTCCACTTCTTAGAAGGTGATCTCGGACGTTATAATTATAAAATTCCGTGGCAAAATCCCTCTATTAGACTCCGAAAGGGATATGAAATATAAGTTATATCCTCGCAAGTTGTGTTTCACCTATCTGGATAAACATGGTTTCTACTAGATGCTATTAAGTAGAGTATGGTACGAAGATAATAGGTAGGCCTCCTAAAAACTTAATTGACTACCTAACTAACTACGAGTCTAAGGGAAAGATACCTACCGAACGGTTCGAACTTAGACTACGTAATAAACCAAATATTGTAGGTTTACTCAAAACTCCTTATTTTTCCCAAGAAAGTAAGAATAGATATGTAGAGTACTAGAACTAAGTTTGGATACTGTAACCGTGTGGAGTGAACCACTGCTTGCTGTGATGAATACGGAGTCAAACGGAAACTGCTGTATTGAGCGAACAACAAAGTGAGGAAGGAAGAGAGTTCCAGAGGAACGAGAGCTTAAATACAGGATGCCAGCAGCGCGCACGTGACACATA